CCCCCGGAGACGCAACCTCTTCTGCACCAGGCTCGGCCGTGCTGGGGCTGCCCCGTGCTCCCCAACAGCCCCTTGCCAGCAGCAGGGCAAGAGATGCAGATGAGCAATTTGCTTTCTGAAACGTTTGAGAATTGGGTTTTATTTGTATTATTTTATTAGGTTGCTTCTAGTCTTTATGGTTGCCGAAGGAAGCCCGAGCAGCTGATGTGGGTGCTGTGCAGCCGGCTCGCCCCAGCACCCAGAGCAGCTCAGGCTGGGTGGGTTCTACCTAGCTTGGTGTTAAATAATCTCATTTAAATTTATTTGTGCGTAGATCCTTGCTCCTGTCAGTCTCTAGCCATTTTTGCAGGGCTTCCCAATACTTCCAGCCCCTCCATCCTTAACATTTTCCACTCTATTCTTATTTTCCTGCATTGCCTTTCCCCGGTCTCCGTAGCTGTGCCCGCCTGCCTACCCTGTGCTGCCTGGGGCCCTCCTTCTCCTCCTGAATTTCTGCCTCTGTCCCCCATCCTCCTTCACATTTCTGTCCTGGCATTTCTCCTCGGCGTCTCATTTTCTCTGGGCAGCAAGTCCTGCGCAGGAAGCATCTCTCCCTATAGGGCACTCGGCAAAGTGCTGCCGAAATTTATGAGGCTATAAGAAGTGATTTGTTTTTACCAGTGTTAACAACAATTCATATTTTTATGCAACACGTTTTAAAATATTATCTGTGACTTCCTCCCTTCCACTCTTCACAATTAAGCTGGGAATTTATTATTCTGACAGTCGGATGCTCTTGCAGCCCTCTGCCTGCCTGGGGGTCTGGTGCAGCCGTGACGCTCTAAGCCCTTCCCCTGACTTCTCTGCTCTGTTTCCCCCCCCCAGATGAGGAGCTGGAGCCCCCCTGCCCAGAGGACAGTGAGGATGCCGGGAGCAGCCAGAGAAGCGGTAAGAGCCCACCCTGCTTTGGCCAACCCAAAGGACCACCAGGTCGTGGTTGGGGGTCCAAGTCTGACTGCCCTCGAGGTCCTGGGGTTTGGGGGGTGGTGGGTGGGGTGTGGAGGATGAGAGAGACCCCAGGCGCAGATGGATGGGAGACTCTGCAGCTGGTGAAGTGCAGACAGCTTGGGCTTGGGGAGCTCTCCCCATCTTCTCCGTGCTATGGGCACGGCAGATGCCTCTCCTTTTGGGAGATGGGGGCTGGCCTTGGTGAGCTTTCCTTGGAGGAGTCCGAGCATCCATCCCCTCTCCTGCCTCCTGAGCTCCATGTGCTGACGGATCGCCCATGGAATCACGCCTGTCCCTGTCCCCCATCCCATCCTGCACCGCGGAGAGGGATCCAGCCCTCCAGGCACGTCCCGAGAGGCCGGGGAGAGGAGCCAGGGCAGAAACAACCTGGAGAGAGGGCAGGAAGC